TGTCATTCAAAAAATAATAAATACAACTACAAATGCTCCTTTTGCGCTGCTCAGTAAAGGCATAGCCATAGCCTCCACACACTGTGATTTTTCTCTGAGAATTGATGAGTAGTAGTTTGAAACCAATAAGTCTTAACAAACTTTAGTTATCGTGGTAACAAATAATTTTCTACACCAGTGACCATGACAGCAACAGGAAGAATATTACAATTATTACAACTAAATTAAAAGTTTTTATGGGAATTAGGATGATGGTATGTTACATTTTCTCATTAATGGAATATTAAGTACGCAATTAGCATAATCACACACGTACCAAAAACAATAGGCTCCGTCTTATTATTACCATCTTGCATTCTACCAAGTTTGAAACCAGTCGGACTTGCCAAACTTTAGTTATTGTGGTAAAAAACAATTTATCAACAACAACAACGACGACAATAGCATGAAGAATATGGGCAAAACCTCGCTCTTTTGGGAGGTTAATAATTTATTAACGAATTAAAAATAATCTACTCAGTATAATGTTGTTTGTACTGTATGGTGAATTTATAGAGGTTCGAACCTAGATCCCCGACATTTGAAAGCGAGCACATTACCCAACCATCATACCAAACAATCAGTACTTGTACTATAAAGTTCATTAGGGTCGTGACCCAAAGTAGGGTTGCCAATATGTTTGTAAGGTCGCCCAATGTATGAAAACAAAAAAACAATGTAGGCTACAGTATTTCAATAACGTAGGCAACAGTATTTCAATACTAGTGTTTCTGTGCATCCGCGGGAAATCCTTGGTGGTGAATAAATCGTAATAGCCTTTCGTCCTGAATGGTACATTTAGGCCCATTTGTAGGCCAAGAGTGTGAAGTTTGTGCGCAATTTCACCCATTCAATGTCAACCAATTGTCAGTGTATACTGCGTATCACTCACATAGGCCTACAAAGATAATACTTATTCTGCTAACTAGACAAATTGACAATTTTATTATAAGAAAATTGGAAAAACGGTTGTCTTTGAAATTCAATTTGCTATATGTGTACGAACCCGGAGATCAATTTAATTAAAAGAGTTTGTCTATGGCAGTAGTAGTAATATCTAAAAAGATGTTCAACATATTATTCAGCTAACTGCTAATGTTTGTTTTGCTGTCACTAGGCCTACACACACTGTCACTCACAAACTATGCATGTAAAAATTGGTCGTAAATAATCGCCCTCCAATTCTTGACTCTCTAATTCCGAGACCCCTCTAATTCCAGATCACTTTTTAAAGTACCAACTAACCACCCATCTTTTAACACTGTCTCATCCTGTAATTATGAGACCCCTTAATTTGAGACCGAGAACTTTGTGAAATACTAAAAAAAATGAACTTGTATTTTTATAAATCATCCATAGGCCTCAGTTATTCACTTTTATCTTTCTGTACATTTTTTACGGCT